TTCTTTTTTTTTTTTTTTTTTTTGGTACTGGGAATTAAACTCAGGACCTTGTGATTGCTAGGCAGGTGCAGTGCCACTGAGCTACATTCCCCAGCCCCAGATACTGAAATTTGGGAGGAACATCTGAGCCTCTTCTTTCGAGACTTTACATCCTGAAAGGGCTATTTGAAAATCCAATTTTGTGGTTTCTTTTGAGGTAGAAATGCGGTAAAGCAGAGAAGTATGGGTTCTGGAGGCGCTAATCCTGTGTTTGAATACTGACTGGCCTATTCATGTTGGGTGACCTCGAATGGACCATCTGATCTATCAGTTTAATGTCCTGTAGCTTCAAACTAGAGACAATAATACCTAGTTTGGAGAATTTTTATGGGAGCTTCTTGAAATAATGCTTTTATCATCATACTGAGACACCTAAAAAATGCTATCACCCTCTTTGCTTCCCTCCACTTGAGACAGAATGAAAATCGAAAACGATGCAAAATTGTATATTTATTGATCTATATAGAACAATATTTAAAATGTAGATTTAATGACTGATATTAACTGGGTGCATTTTGCTCAAAATGTTCAGATAATTTTAGTTGAATCTAGAAAAACCAGATCATGTTGGAAATTTATTTCTCTTTTGTAATTTGGCATTATTTCTGTATCACATGTTAAAATGATGTAAGTGTACTAAAACATGTTGAAAAGCCTCCACCTTTACCACATCTATAGAAACTTCCCTCTTCTGGAAGATAACCTCCCTCATCCTGGAGATTAACGATTCCGGTTCATCCTTGTGCCCGAAGCACACAGCTGGAGTGCCAAGCTTACAGTACATATTATTAAATATTTATTATTTTAGCTGCATTCTAAGTGCAATCGACCCTTCCCAAAATTTTATAAGGGATAAATAATTACTCCATACCAAAGCCCGCTGGTAACACATACTAATTATTTCAGAACAGGAATCCAGAAGCCAAAAGGATCAGGAATCCATAAACTTACCAGAAGTAAACAAAAACAAAAACAAAAACAAAAAACAAACTGTGTCTGTAACAGAATGAAGCTTTGTAACTCAGAAACCATGGAGAATGCTCAGCTTTCCTCTTCTTTAAGAACTCAGAATATGTTATAGAGCACTACAACTAACCTAAGGAAATAAAAGAATTCAACTTCGGGCCACACTAGGGAAACAGTACAGTTCTAGGTGAACTATAAAGACTTAACAGGTCAAAAATTACTCAGACATAGCAAGGGAGGCATGGAGAAAAGCAGAGACCTTGGGATTAACACTTTGCAAACATACAGGATGAGTTGAGCAATAGAATAGAAAACCAACACTCAGTAACACATACAAGGAGAAAGGCATAGTATAGGAAAAAGGAAAAGAGAAGAACGTGTCATTTGCTAGCATAGGTTCTCGCTTTAGTAGAAATGGAAATTAAAACTAAAGCTACAGTTTGAATTGACAGGCCAAGCTTTCATTGGAAAGTAGGAAAAATAAAGAAAGGATTTCAGGGTGGACAGTTGCTCGTGGGGGTGCACTGAGGAAGATCGGACTGGCTCACCCACGAAAGAACGAAGGCCGGTGTCACTGGGAGCTGAGGGGGGGCGGGGCCTTGCCAATCATTACTTCGTCCTGGATTTGCAGCCCCAGCCAAATCCTCAGGGATGAAGAGGCAGCCCTGTTCCCACGAGATGACAGTCTCTGTTCGTGGTGCTTCCACCATGCATGGCTCTGCCTTTTCCCCAGATCCGAGTGACCACTGGTTCAGGACGGTGACTGGGGAATCCCACTCATTGCTCCAACTTGGGGTCAGTCTGGAACTTGACATTGTACGTGCCGGTGATCCCAAGTCCCGTGGAGTCCTAAAAATTACTTGAGTTGTTATTATCGCGATGTCCTCCATCTCGAAGGGGAAATGAGGGAAGCCACGTCAATTTAGTGCTAATAAGCTTTGTTCTGTCAACTCTGTAAACGAGTAACATGTCTGTATGCAAAGTTTTAAGATAATAAAGTACTCAAAAATTAAGGTCAAACTTTGTTTTGCTTTCCTTACCTATTGAGCATGTGTAGGCCCAAGTGAAGAATCACAAATTTTAGCCATAACTGCTTTTAAGTCCCTGACTGCTTAAAAAAAATAAAGTAAAATGGGGCATCTCTAACTTTATCAAACGGACTCATAGTGCTTTGGGAAAATCCAAAGATTAAAATGCAGAATAACAATGCTAACTGGATTCATATCCCGTACCGGTTCTTGGGAATTTGTCTGCAGAGTTATGCAGCGTGATACTGAGCCTGAAATTTATTGGAAGGTTCCAGATCTCCGAGATATACTTTGATATGCAAATCACATTTGCATGTTGCTCGGCCAAATTCTTCCACAGGGTGCTGATGGGTGAGAATGAAGAGTAACATGGCTCATTGTATTAAAAAGGCATTTCATGCTCGACATCAAAACCAAAGCAGGCTGTGTTAGCAAATTAAAAAAAAAAAATCTATTCAATTTGGAAATTTGGTCACCTTAAAAAATGGTGAAATTGAACTTTCCGTGAATTTCTGTGGGACCAAGATGAGAACTGTACCTCTTATATAAGACAACATTAATTCCTTGGTAAGCACTCTTTAAATTCTCATGACAAAGAAATAAATTTGCAGGCATTAAAATTGAGGTAATAATGTGGAACATTAGTAAGTTTTTGGGTAATCACCACTTTTTCATATTAAAGAATTTCAAGAGCATCCAGCTGTCTGCACAGTTTCCTAGAAAGAAGTAAAGGCTGTTCATCACACCACTGCAGCATGTAATGAATTATATATTGTATACATAACATTTATTTTATCATTGAAAAATAACACCACAAGTTTATCTAATACAATGAAACACTGTTAATTCTTGGAAGATAGGAAAAGCCACATAGGGCCTTTTGTATTTAATTTATTCCACACAGAAGACTCTATTCACCTAACTTTTCTCTAGTGCCATTATGTCCCTCAGGGCAACTTCATCTGGATGGGACTTGAGTTTACCTCATCCAACCAGTGTACACAGCCAAGGTGAGGGTTTGATTCAGAGACAAACTGGGAAGAGCATTTTGTGGAAATCAGAAGGAAAATATATGAGACATACAAGAATGAAACTCACATTTGACCTCAAATTTAACTTCTTTAAGGAAGCTTAGAAAATCCTTATTTTGCTTTCCTTGTACTAATTTTATTTTATTTTGTTTTGTTTTTTCCTTCTTTGAGTTTATTGGTGCATTTTAGGTAAACAGTACAGTTACATTCATTGTTGGGATCTTGTACCTCTACATAACAGGTCTTGGTTCTCATTTTTTCCCCTTGTCCCTGCCCTCCCTTCACCCCTTCGTACTAATTTTAAAACACTGCT